AAGGCAGCTGCATCCGGTCTCCTCGATCCACTCCGCGGCGGGCAGCTTGAGGGCATGCGCAATGTCCGCGCGCGTCGAGCCGAACGTGGCCTGCTGGAGGAAGCGCGCGGCGAGCGTCTCGTTCGCGGCAGGGCCCGCGGTGATCACCTCGATGGAGTAGGTGAGCTGGTCGTACTCGTCTTCCATCCCCATCCCCATCCCCGCGGAGGCGGAGGAGGTAGGCAGCTCGGCCTCGCACGCGTCCGCGTCGCAGGACCAGAGCAGGGGCGCGATCAGCTTGGCCGCGTCCCAGTCCTTGCCGTCGAACGAGCGGCCGTGCAGCGTCTTGACCCCCGTGGCGGAGGAGGTGCCCCACAGTAGCTGCAGCTCGCCCGGCACCGACTTGAGCAGCCGCACCGCGCCGCCTGGGGCGTAGGGAGGCCGAGGCGCCGCGGGAGGCGGAGGCGGGAGCGGCGCGGGCGGAGGCGGCGGCAGCGACGGCGGCAGCGATGGCGGCGATGGCGGCGGAAACGGCGGCGGAGGCGGCGGCGGCGCCTCGGGCGCCACCTCCATGCCGACGGCGACCCGCATCCTCTGGCCCGATAAGCAGTGTGGCTCGCAGAGGAAGTGGAGCACGCCGGGAGCCGTGACGACGGCCGAGTACTGGTTTGGAAAGTCGCCGCCCGTTGATCCTCCGCCGTGATCGAAGCTCGCGACTCGCGTGCCGCTCAGAGTGCAGTCGCCGAAGGCGTCCTGCGAGCGAAGCAGAGAGCTGTGGGTGGGAGGTGTGCAGGAGCCACCGCGTGTGGGCCAGCCGTTCACGCCTCGCTGTCGGCGACAAAGACCGTATGCGTTCCGCCGTACTTGAAGATGATTGAAGTGTTGAGCGGAACGTGGAGCAGCTTGTTTATGCCGTAGGCAGCCGTTAGGCCGACGCCGAACGCGTCGTTCCACCCTCGTGCGTCGCCGATGGTAACGCTGCCGCTCGCCGAGGAGAGGCAGGCGGAAGTGGAGCAGAGCGAGTCGGCGGTGAGAGCGACCATGGGGACCGCGACGCGTCGGGCCCCGAACGCGCTCTGTTGGCGGAGCCGGGCTGCGCCTGCTTGCTTTTAATCGGCGCCGGTTTTGGAAGGGCACAGCGTGTCAAACAACTGTGAACAGTCGATCTCTGTTGGGAGTGTGAATACCCCACTCGTGTATATAGAGAGATCACGGAGCGAGGAGATCGACGGCAACTCGGCCGTCGTGAGTGCTGGTGCGGTCGCTGCGGTGCGATCGCACAGCTTCCCGGCTAGCGCTCGATACGGTAGCCAGCACCATGGACACCTGCGGGGTGTTGTGGTGGCGGGCAGGGCCAGAGCCCCTGCACAAAGTCTTCTCGGCACCTCGGCCGGAAGCCTGCTCGGCACCTCGGCCTTGCAGCCCTGCAGCATGATCCGGATGATCTCTGCGGTCTGTTCCTCATCGGCACCCACCACGAGCACCTCGGCTTCGTGGGCACGGATCTTCATTGATAACTTCATCTCTCCTTCTTCACTTTACCGGCTCGCTATCATCTCCTGCGAGCCGCCACCGCCGCCGCCGCCAGCTCTCGAGCCCGTCCAGTTGCCTGCTCGCACGAATCTTGGACGCCTTCTCTCACCGCCCTCCTCTGCCTTTCGCCTCTTCGCTTTCGCTCCCGCCGCCCGCCGCCTGTGGCGCGGCATCCGACGAACCCTCCTCGTCTACACGACGACTTCGCCCGAGCCCGTCATCTCCGACGCCTTCGCCGCGGACACCGACGACGCCTCCAGCGACCCCGTTTGCGGCTCCGTCTTCGACGCCCTCGACACCACCCTCATCGGTCCCGAGGAGCGCCACAAGCTTCCTGTGCGCCCGTCCGACCATGCCGACTACGGCCTGTGGCACGCCCGCCTCGGCCACTTTGGCAGGAACAAGATCATCGGGCCACTCCGCTACAGAGGTTACGTTTTCCGCCCCGGCAGCGACCGCTGTGAGTGCGCTGCATGTCGCCTCAATCGTCGCCGCAAAGGTCACCCGAGTCAGCCGACCAATCGCCGAGTCTACACCCACTTCGGCGAGCGAGTCACGTCCGATCTCTGCGGCCCCTTCAAGCTTCTGCCGTTCAGCATCCACAAGTTCAAGTTCGCCATAAACTTCGTTGATTACTTTTCCGGGGTGATCGCCGTCTACTTCCTCGAGAACGGCAGCTCCCCCGAGATCGTCAGCGCCGTCCGCGCCTTTCTCCGCGACTACGCTCACCTCCTCACCGACACGCGCAACCCCGGCGTGATGGATGAGTGGTTGACCGACAACGCAAGCTACTTCACTTCCGAGCTCACCGACGAGCTCTGCATCACCCTCTCCATCCAACGCTTCTTCTCCTCCCCCGACATCCACGAGGGAAACGCTCTCGCCGAGCGCTGCTGGGGAACCCTCCTTCACTGCACGCGCACCGCTCTCGTCCACGCTGGGGGAGATCGGGAGCACATTCAGTTCTGGCCCTACCTTTTCAGCCAGTTTGCCCGCGTCCACAACCTCCTACAGACGAACAGGGGCTCCAACGCTGAGCCACGATGGGTCTCGCCTATCGAGGTCGCCAGCGGCCACCCTCGCAACTACGCCCTCGAGAACTTCAAGGTGATGCTCTGCGACTGCTCCTGCGTCCTCCCCGAGTCGCTCCGCGCGCACGACCTCACCCCCACTCGTCTCAAGGGCATCAACCTCGGCCACGACCCGCGGCGCTCCAAATACCTCGTCTACATCCCCGCCGTCCGGCGGATCATCTCTACCGCCGACGTCATCTTCGACGAGTTCTCCTTCACCACCCTCGGCGGCGCCTGGCAACCCTTCAAGATCCGCGGCGCCGTCGAACAAGAACGCCCTCAAGTCCCCGAGGCGATCGTCCGCGCCGAGCCTCCCGCCGCACCAGCGGCGCCAAGGGGCGCGCCCATCGCCCCGCCCGCCGCGCGAGCTGCGCCCGCTCAGCCCGCCGTCCCGCGGCGCTCACCTCGGATCGCCGCGCGCGGCTGACCAAGCTCTACTACTCCCACGTTGTTCAATTGAAGACATCCAGTCGACCGCTCCGATAGTCTACTACCTTGAGCCCGGGAGACGGAAGGTCACATGCCACGTTCACTAGCTCGCGCCTCTGATCAGCGTGACAATTACTTCCTTCACACTCCGCTGTTGTCTGCCGCATCTGAAGACCGCGCAGACAATGGGGGAGTGTTGGGAGTGTGAATACCCCACTCGTGTATATAGAGAGATGTCCCTGTTGATTACTGTCCGATAGTCGAGATGCCTTGTTCCAGAGGGATGTGTCCTGGACGGCGTCTCGTCGTGGTCCTTCAGGACGATAGCTTTGTCCCTTTCAGGATGATGGTGATCTTGGTTTGACCGTTCCTGTACGCCTCGGTACAGACCCTCGCTCCGTGTACAGCTCACAGCTCACTACAATCTCGCTATATGCGCAGCTATTCATAGCCGCGCCTGTCCGCGCTCTTCTACCCTTATAAGTCTCTCGTGTCGGCGCCGACGCTCTTTTAACCGTAGCGTACGACGCGCTCCTTCAACGGTTCTTCAACGGTCATGCTCGCGTTGCCGAGCTCAAAGAGCTACTCAAAGCGAAAGACGAGAAAGAGTGGAAGAAAAATATGCTCGAACGTTCTATGGAGCATATTTTCGACCCTCCACAGATTAGGGAGTTGAAGGCTCAGATCCGGTCTGATCTATGTCGAGTGATCAATGCAATGTCGCCGTACGAGGTGCTAATGAATGCACCGTTCCACGAGACACCCGCCACGAGCGATTTGTTAGATTGCGATCTCAAGTACGACGCAGATACTCTTGAGCACTTCAGCTCACCTTTCGGTTACGAAGGCCCGGAGTGTTCCTTTACCTCTCTTTTCTGATTTGACTACTGATCTCTTGATCTATTCTAGACGTGCCACATCACTAGACACGCCACGCCCCCGGGGCGGGTCCGGCGCCCAAGGGGCGCCGGCCAATTGCTCTAGTTTAACCGTAGAACGTCCCAGCTGAACACCGCCCGCCGACGATCGATCAGTCCACAATCGTCGGCAATCGTCGGCCCGCAGCGACCCGCAGCGATGGATGCCGCCCCCACGGCCCCTACGGCCGACGCGCCGATGCACGACCGGCCTCCGTCGGACGGCTCTCCGGCCTCTCCGGCCGCTGCCGCCCGCGCTGCTGCCGATCCGGTCCCCTTCACGCTCAGCGATATCCGCACAAGCAACGACAACTTCGAGGTCGCCGGCTTTGGCCAGGTGCAGCCCACCACCTTGCCTCCATGTTCACGCTTCGCGCCCCTCCCCCCCTCTGACGCCGCCGTATGACCTTAGGTGAGGGGCAGCACGACTACCCGCCTGGAAGGTGCTCTCATCAGCAAGTCACCCAGGCACCAACTCCTGGGCGTTTACGCTTGACTACTGTACGTGGAAACCATGCAGTGGATGCAGCTCGATCAAAACGGCGACGCCAACAGCCAACAGCTGGCCCCTGGGCGAGTTCCTTGCCTAGGATGAGGTGCGAGCCATGATGCTCGACTCAGCGTGCACCAAGTCGCTCACATTCCGTGAGTTTGTCAACGGGCCGAACTCTCCAAGTCGACGGCGATCTCGAACTCCGACAACTGGACCGATGCACCAGCCGCGGAGGACGATAGCTCCCTCGACGACATCCCTTCATCGACGGACGCCTTCACCGCCGCCGGCCCTGGGCCATCCATCGCGGCCTCCGACTGGCTGCCGCAGCTCACACCCTAATCTATCTGCCTTAGGCACGGAGCCGACGGAGCCATCGCGCACGCCCGCAGCATCGCGTGCTGCTCCGAGGTCTCCCGCCGAGACCGGCTCGGTGCGGCTTTAACTGACGTGACTGACTGATGAGTGCTTGCGATGGAGAGAGATGTTGTTGCGATGGATGATCTCCGACATATTCCGCATTCATTGCGAGGGCGGACCACTCCTAGCGTGCAGACCGCGGTAGCTGGTGCCGCGGCCAGTGTAGACCTGGCCTGCGCTGTGACGCGCGCGCTCATCTTCAACGTCAAATCGCGCAAATAAGAAGTGGCCCCGCGAGCTGGGAATAGGACCGCCTCAAGCGGCGTGGCGTGGGGCGGTTGAGCATCCCTCCGGGGGCCCCTCTGCGCCGGGGAGGCGTTGTTGGAGGCTAGGACGCAAGCGTCCGCCTTTTTCAAACTCGGGTCCCACTCCGCTACGCTCCGAGTCCGACCCGAATTTGGAGGGCCATGAAGTTTAAGGTGTGCTGCGCAAAAGGGCGGG